ACATAATTATAACATAGATAAGAATAACGACAACAAACATATGAAACATATGTATGAACTGCGGTTATGAGACGTATATGTGAACGATCCTTCGCAGTAAAGCACTATTTGAGCAATAGTGAAAATCAGACCTGAAAAAAATTTCAGGCCTGTACGGTTCTGTACGGTTTTTTCAGGTCTGATTTTCACTATTGCTCAAATAGTGCTTTACTGCGAAGGATCGTTCACATATACGTCTCATAACCGCAGTTCATACATATGTTTCATATGTTTGTTGTTGTTTGAACTATCAACTCAGTTGATAAAATCAAGCTATGTGTCACTGACCTGCCCACATCGCTCAGAACGAAATATTTTTTATATTTTCAGCAACATGCTGACCATGATAGAATTCAAGGTCTGGAGAATCAGGTACTTAAATTTAATGTCTTAAACCGCCTTTTTTGTGGTACTCCTTTGGTTTCTTCTCTACAGTTTTACGCTTTTAAGGATATCATTGTTAACTACTCGGTCCTGTAAAAATAAGGTTCTTTATTTTCGCACACACTAATCCAAGTAAATAATAAATGTAGAGTCAAAATTCACGTGTTTTATACCTTCGGGCATTTTGCATATAATTACGGTCACATTACAATACACACTAATTAGCAACGATTCTGTTGTGATAAATCTAACTGGCGGCGTGAATTGCTGATTATGCAACAATCATCTTATAATTCGCTCTGACGAAGGGCTATCGTTCGAAACGTCAGCTTTGAAACTTTTTACGGTGGCCAATTTACACTATCAACTCAGTTGATAAAACCAAATCATGTGTCACTGACCTACCCACATCGCTCATGTCGAAATATTTACTATTTTCAGCAACATGCTGACCACAATGAAAGAATTCAAGCTCTGGAGAATCAGGTACTTAAATTAAATGTCTTGAACCGTAAGTTTTTGCGGTATTCCTTTGGGTTCTTCTCTGCACTTTTACACTTTTAAGTCAGTTTTACGCTTTTAAGTATACCACCCTTAAATTCGCTCTGAACAGGGGCTAGCGCTCGAAACGTCAGCTTTGAAAGTTTTTACGGTGGCCGATTTACACTATTAACTCAGTTGATAAAATCAAACTATGTGTCACTGACCTGCCCACATCGCTCATGCCGAAATATTTTCTGTTTTCAGCAACATGCTGACCGTGATAGAATTCAAGCTCTGGAGAATCAGGTACTTAAATTTAATTTCTTGAACCATAATTTTTTGTGCTATGATCGTTTGCTTCGATCGTTTGGACCTAAAGCCCCTCTCAAAGAGACGACACTTCCATCGCTGTGTTATGATGCAAAAATATTTATTAGGGGAAATTGATTTTAAATTTGACATCAGACGCAATAGCAGTTTTCATTGTCGTCTACCTCGCAAAAGCAGTGATTTACATCTTCCTCGCGTGCGTATCAATTGGGGCAAACAAACTTTCATTTATCAAGCCTCTAAGGACTGGAACAACTTAGACAATGACACATTGAATATATGAAGTTCATATATTTTGAACTGCGATATTAAATACGTATGATGCACGATCCTTCGCAGTAGATAGCGCTATTTATGCAATAGCGAAAATCAGACCTGAAAAAAATATATGAAAAAAAATATATGAACTTCATATATTCATTGTATCTGACTTATCATCACGGGTTTATTACGAATCAACTTAACGGCCTACTCCCAGATGGCTTGTTAGCTCAATTGGTAGAGCGCTGCACTAGTATCGCAGAGGTCAGTGGTTCGAATCCCGTACAGGCCTGATTTTTTTCAGGTCTGAGTTTCGCTATTGCATAAATAGCGCTATCTACTGAGAAGGATCGTGCATCATACGTTTTAGACAATGACATTAAAAACAGCAATTCATTGTCCCTCTTTAAGGCAGAGCTTAAAAGTTTGTAACTAATGCGCTCTCATTGTTGAGTTATTATAAAATTAATTTAATATTATTATTCGGGTTTCTTCTCTGCAGTTTTACGCTTTTAAGTATACCACCCTTGAATTCGCTTTGACCAAGGGCCAACATTCGAAACGTCGGCTTTGAAACTTTTAACGGCCGTGGCCAATTTATACTATCAACTCAGTTGATAAAACCAAATTATGTTGTAACACCCTCCACCGGCGCAGCTTATTAATGTTGGTAAAACCTGGACTAGAAGTTCATGTTTCCTCCCAGTTTACACGATCATGTCTAGAGTGCTCAGGACAAGAAACTTTCTTTTCAAATTACTTTTTCCTTCGGACAAGGGTAGTGTTAAACGTACCCGTCCGAAAAACCTGACCACAACCGCTGCAGAATAAGAAGTAGGTCTCGCATGGAAATTAATGGCCGCGCTTCGCATAACAAAGCGAAACACCGGCGACACACCTGGTGATTTTATAATACGAACGCGGCGATCGGCTGAGTGTGCCCGGTGCGGCGATGCGATTTTCGCCGATTGTGGCGTATGAACAATTTTACCTCTGCTTTGGTACATTTCCCTTGCCTTGTTAGCTTGTTTGTTCATTTTCTTTTTCTTCACCTAAGGTGGACGTTTTGCAAAATAGATGTGCAGATACAGACGCTGAGCTTATGCGAGAAAAAGACACCAGGAATATTGAGTGTGCTATCACGTATGACCATATAACACAACTAGCAGCAGGATTGCGGTAGTAAACCATGCAGGTTACTTGTTGTGAACTACGTTACTTTGATAAGCTTAAAATTCACATGAATGTTAAGTTCTAGATGTACGCGTATGTATGTACCAGTATGTATGCGTGTGCGTATGTATGTCGTATTGTGCATTTGGTGAGTTCCACCCCTTCTATTGCAAACCTAGTTAAGAATAGAGCGGTATGATTTGCATGTAATGTAAGTCGAGCTGGCTAGTTTAACGAATTGGTTGTAATTGCAAGGCTAAGAACGATAGAATACTTCTGTATATCAAAGAGATGTATGGAACGAAGAAGATGAATTGAAGCACTGAGTGCTTTCAAAACGAACCGAGGATCGTGACTGACTATCATATCCAATTCGGTTCTGTAGTGTTAGAATTACGTGATGACAAGTCATGATTCGGTAATTTATCGTGTTAATTAATATTTTCCTGGATATTTACTCCAGTGAAGTACTATCAATCGTGTCTCTGATTGGATGAACGATGTATTTTTATAGTTGTTCGCTTCCAATCTTAGGCCCACTCTGGGACATTAAGTTGCCTTAAGTTGCCCTAAGTCGCTCTTGATTACGCAATGTTATAAGGGTTCCACTCGTCCCAATTGACCCCATTCACTCCACTTTAATCATAAGGATCAGAGGCAGAGGCATGGTGGCTTAATGCTTTGTGCACTGGACTCGACACTAGCCTAGTTTTGGTGTCCAGTGTTGGAGCATTGCTTTGTGTTCTCGGGTAAGATACTGTAAGCTCAAATTGATTTGAAATCTGGATATTTTAGACTTATGGTGACTTATGAGCACACAAAAGTAACCAAAATGACTATTGTGTTTATTGCAAGGGATTCTGTAAGTATTTTTAAGGTTTAGGGAGAGACTGTTGCTAACTTTGATTTAATCAGTTCAGTCAAATAAAATCGCTTTAAGTCGCTTCAAGTCGCCTTAAGTCGTCTTAAATCGTCTAAAGTCGCAATGTTTTTTCTTTCAATTTTGCCTAAGTCGCCTTAAATCGCCCAAAGTTGCCAAAATTTACGGCGACTTAAGGCCCCAGAGTACGCCTAATCTTTAAAATGTATGTAAACCTCAGTGGGGAAAAATAAAAAAATAAACACCATACCGGGGAAAGTGTGCACGAACGCTGGACTGTTGTGCGCTGGACTGTTGTGCGGGAGGTCGAGGGTTCGGCGGAACCAACACTTAAGGTCTTAAAAAAATTGAGAAGAATTTGCTGCCTTTCTATAACATCAAGAAATGGTTAGATATTCTAGTCTTCTCGGATAGGGACGAATAAATGGAGGTCCCGTCTCCTGCAGGGTTGGGGTAGGAGACGTTAATTTCCCACACACGAGATTACTGTGTGATGGATGTCCTCCCCTGGGGTGGGATGGGTGGGATATAGGGCGCACTTAATTTGGAGCCTCGCTCTGTTGTGCGACCCTCACCACACTCTGGTGAAAGTGATTAAATAAATAAATAAACATGGAGATAGCGCCGCTTAGCGTCCATCACAGTGGTATTTGTGCCACGCTTTTCAAAGACATCCTAAGTGACTCAGACCATAGGTTACGGGCATTATTGCAGCCTTCAAATATTCGCTGCGAAAATAAACATGGAGATAGCGCCGCTTAGCGTCCATC